GCCCAGCCCGGTTCTGAACAACCGGGGAACAGCTGAGCTGGAAGGAGCCATCGAGCTCCTGGTGCTACCCTCCCTCCCTGTTCCACAGATGAAGGACCAGGAAAAGTGACCTCAAAGTTCAAACCAAAAAAACAACAGGGCTGGGTGTCTCTGAGTGACAGAGTCTGTGCTTAGTATGCAAATGCGCCAGGTTCAATCCCTGCACCCCTAAAACCAAGCCAACCCCAACAGGTAAGTGGATAACTGAAGCCCACTCAGGGCGACCCCAGAGCTCAGGGTTGGGGTCCCAGGAGGTCAGTGACCACCACTAAACCCTAGGGACAGGCGCCTGAGATCGCCTGGGGCAGAACAGGACAGGGCGGAGGCCACACACACAGCTCCTGCAGAGCCACCTGAAATCCACGCTTCAGGAGTGCTGGGCTCAGACTTCTCTTCCTGCCGCAGGAAATTTAAAGAAAACAAATTCAAGACGTCAGCTGCATAGCAAAGCGCCCTTTGTGTGCCGAGTTCTGCTCCTGGCCGTGCTGGGCCGGCTGCCTGAGCCCCTGCGGAGGGTCAAGCGAGCCGGGCACAGCTTGCATGCCAGGGTGCGCGGGGTACGGGGCTGCGTACCAGGGTGCAGCTGGGGACGGAGGGGCCATCCTTACCCTAAACCTGAGCCCGGCCAGCTCCTTCTACAACACGTAATATACTGAGAACATCACCCCAGGTCATGACGCAGGAGTTAAAAATGAGGTGTCCTCCTGGGTACAGAGGTGCACACCCGTAAGCCCAGCACTCAGGAAGCTGTGGCAGGAGGATCCCCGTGAGTTCGAGGCCAGCCTGGACTACACAGTGAGACCTTGTCTAAAAAAACAAAACACGACAACAACAATATTGATAATATTATACATCAATAAAAAGGGAGTGACCAGTCTTCAGCCGTGGCTATTCCCAAATGAACTAAATCCAGAGCCTGCAAAAGGCTCAGGTCAAGGAGAGGAAATAGACACAAGAAAGAAAGGGCGGTACTCCTGCCAGGCACCCCCAAACCTGAGCTGGGCCGGACGGCTCCCTCCACAGCCACCCCCACCTGCTCAGTCCCGCCAGTCGTCCCCACCCCGCACCGCCTGCCCCTCCCAGCGCACCCTGAGGGGTGCCCTCGCTCAGTGCCCCCGCGTCCTGCTCGGCCCAGGTCTCACAGGAGCAGCCTAAGGCCCTTCCTCGAGGCCTGTCCTCGAAGGCCTCAGGACAGTCCAGGGTGACAGCCTCACAGGTCAACGGCGCTTTCCACCCCTGCCTGTGTGGAGACTGAGCTCACCCAGCAGGGCTTTCACCACAGCCCGGCGCAGGTGGCACTCAGCCGAGGCTGTCACTTGCTGGGCCACCAGTGCCTTCCTGTCTGCAGCCCAGAGGGAGAGGACCCAGGGACCGCTGGACGTGGCCGGGGAGCCTGGGGAAGCCCCGCCCAGCCACTGCCTTGGTTTCCGTCTTCCTAAGAAATAGAGCAGGTGGTCGGTACTCAGGAGGCCCCAGCCAGCTTGGGGATCCCTGACTTCGCAGCAAAACTGCCTCAGCCAGAGGGTGGCGGAAAGCGGCCCGGCTGAGGAGGTGCGGACAAAGGGGCCCTGTGTGGCGCTGCCCCGGGCCCAGCCAGGCTTCCAAGAACCACACGAGCGGGCGTTGTGCCGGAGTCATGGCCACCGCCCCTGTTCTTGGAAGCTGTGCTCGAGGAAGAGCAGGGGGTGGACGGGGAGGGAGAAGGTTCCAGCAGGAGGGAAGGTGACAAAGGACGGTGCGGGGGAGGGGCAGACGGGGTCAGTGGGGAGATCAGGCCCGGGCGCGAGGAGGCTGGGGAGAGGGCACACGCGGGGGTGGCTCTGAGCAGCCCTGCTTGTGTCCTGTGCCGCAGAGCAACTCGGGCCGAAGGAAACCAAAAGCCCCTGTGGTGGTGGCGGCGGCGGTGACGGGGGCCGCTGCCCAGGGCCACCTCCCCCGCGCTCCTGCTGTGCTCTCTCTTGAGCCTCCCTCCACGCGCCAGGCCGGGGTCTCCCATCTCTCCTGCTGTCTCTGCCTCCCCTCTTCTCACCTCTTCTGCCCACATTCCTTAGCAGGTGTGAGGGCGCACACCTGTCACCCCAGCCCTCTGGGAGGCTGAGGCAGGAGGACCACAAGTTTGAGCTCAGCCTATCTTAGCAAGACCCTATCTCAAAATAAAAAATACAGAGGGCCAGAGCTGTAGCTTGGTGTAAAGGCCCTGGGTTCAATCTGCAGTATCCAAATGAAAAAAAAAAAAAAAAAGGAAATGAACCCAGAGAGTCATTGACTCAGACGCCCCGGAGTCACACACGCAGAGGCGCAGAGCTCGCTGCCCTGGGAAGGGGCCTAAGGGATCGGGCCCTGCCACTCAGAGGGAAGTCACGCCTGTGCAGCACCAGTTTCCTCAGCTCTAGAACCAGACTGGCACCTCCCCGGTGCAGGGAGGACTGGGGGTGTGATTCGAGGCCCAGGCGCAGGGCTGGCTGCAGCAACGAGGAGGGTTTGGGGAGGGGGAGGACGGGCCTCCGGCTCCCTGCCGCCTCTCCCTTTAGGAACCAGAGAGAAGGGCCCAGCAGGCACAGATGGAGACTCCTGGTGTGCAGGGAACCAAAGCTGCCTCGGCCCGTCCACCCCACCCTCAGCAACCACAGGGCCCCCTCGGGTGGGGTCGCCAGGGCAGAGCAGGGCGCGCCCAGCAGGCGGCAGGACCCGTTATCAGGTAGGTGCAGGGCAATAGTGGCTGAGCTCAGCAGGCTTATCACGCTCAGACCTGGGCCCAGATGTACCCAGCCGGTGGTCACTGCCCCGCCTGCCCTCCACCCAGTGGCGGCAGCGGCCGCCTGGGAATCAGACAGCCACTGGGCCCATCCATGAGCCTGGGGTGGGGCCGAGGGATGGGAGGCCCAAGTCCTTTCCCTCACACCTGTCATCCCAGCACCTGAGAGGCTGAGGCAGGAGCATCACCGTGGAATTTAAGGCCAGCCTGAATTACATAGTAAGACACTGTCTCAGAAAATAAATATAAATATGTAAAAAGTAAATAACTGCTGGGCATGGTGGCACATGCCTGTAACCCCAGCACTTGGGAGGCTGACACAGAAGGACTGCCGTGAGTTCAAGGCCAGCCTGGGCTACATAGTGAGTTCAAGGCTACCCTGAACTACACAGTGAGACCCTGTCTCAGAAAATAAATATAAATATGTAAAAAGTAAATAACTGCTGGGCATGGTGGCACATGCCTGTAACCCCAGCACTTGGGAGGCTGACACAGAAGGACTGCCGTGAGTTCAAGGCCAGCCTGGGCTACATAGCGAGATGCTGTCTCAAATAACAATAAATCAATAAACAATAAAGTACATATCGGGGCCCCATGCCTCCTGGGAAGGAGGGAGGAAAGCGATTTCTCCATAGCACGCTAGCTCTCCCCACATCACTGACCTGGAAGAGGCCCCTGGAGGGGAGGGAGGCTGCTCCTGGGTCCCCACCCCGCTTAAGAGCTGATGGAGGGGTTGTGGGGGGGTTGCCTGGGCACTGGCAGCTCTGCAGGCTGCGGTCACCCTGTGGCCCTGGCCCAGGGCCAGGCAAGGAGGACAGGCCCCTTGACTCCCTGATAACAGTCCTGTCTTATCCAAAGCTCAAGGCCTGGGTGGGGCGCAGCTGAAATCCAAAGCAGGTTTGCAGCAGTGGGGAGGGGGCGCCGGCTTTAACTGCAGCTCCAGGCCTGCGGGAAAGAGGCAGAAGGGTACCTAGGGCCCAGGGTGGTGGGGCAGGGTGTCCGAAGAGTATGGGCTGCGGCCTGAGGCAGTCTGTCCCAAAGAAACCCTAAAATCCCTGTGCTGGGAGGGAGCAGGGGCCCCCGACTCCTCACACCAGAGCAGGAAGTCACTGCCTTCTGAGGGGTCACAGCCGTTCGAGAGCCTAAGGTCATGTGCTGGCCCACGGGAAAGCCGGGGCCCACGGCATCATGGGAGAAGACCCCAACTGGCTGAGGACCTGAAGGAGCCATCCAGCGCTGTCCTGAGTGCCCAGGCAGCCAGTGACACCAGCAGGGCCAGAGACAGAGACTGGCCCGACACCCTCGGTGCCCTGTGAGCCAGGCCCAGGCTACCAAGGCAGGGACCCTGGGGGCTTCTCTCCCTGCTGCGCAGAGCTGCGTCAGAGACCACACAGGCACACACAGACATTCTCCCCTCTGCCGTGGGCCCACCGGACACAGGGTGGCAGGGAGCAATGACGTGCGGCCCTGGGTAAGCATCCAGACCCCTGCTGAGACTCTGGGCCCGTAGTATGAGGCCCCACAGTTCCAAAACGGCAGCCGGCTGCGCACAGGAGAAAGTAATCACAGCCCACACCATCACGAGCCACGCCGCATTCACTATGTGCCGGCCCTACGCGGTGACATTGTTCCCAATCCCACGGGCACACTGCGCCACCGGCAGAGCCACAGTTTGGGGTGTGCCCACCCCATCCCCAGAAGCCTGCAGATTCCCAGGGCCTGGGCCCAACCTAGGGACAGGACCAGGGCAGCACCTGTCGCCCAGTGGGAGCAGGGGTCAGGGTGAGACAGGGACGGGGGGGCGGGGGGGGACGCAGGGCTGGACTGTCTGAGAGCCCACACCAGGTCTCCAGGATGACAGGAGGGCCAAGCGCCAGTTCCCAGGCTGCTGGCGCCCCCTGCAGCCAGACAGGGGTGCTGCAGAGCCAGGGCTGGATTCTTCCCAGGTGTTGATACCTACTAGGAAGCCCAGGCTGGCCTTGAACTAGGTGATCCTCCTGCCTCAGCCTCCCAGGTGCTGGGATAACAAGCATGCGCTCCCACACCTGGCACTGCTGAACCATTTTACTGATGGGAGAAACGGTAAGCATCTTGCCCGAGTTCACAGAGCCAGGCAGTGCTGGGGCTGGAGCGCATGTCTCCAGGGGTCCCCGGACTTTGTTCCAGTCCCTGACGCCTAGGACAGACACACAGCAGGGCATTTACACCCGAGAAAGATACTAATTTAATGGCAGGCAGGATGGTCTCACATCATGCCAAGGGAGAGGGCAAGGCGGGCACTGAAACTCCGACGGGCTCAGGTGGTGACGAGTGGGTGCAGATGCTCCTGGCCTTGCTGGGGATGGAAGCGGGCGCGGGAGGCCAAGGCTGGTCCTGGGGTCTCCTGCATCCGGGGCCATGTAGGGCCAGTGGGCAGCTAGACAGAGTGGGAATGTGTGTCCCTCGGCGCACAGCCAATCCCCTGCCTTCGAGCAGAGCAAAGGAGAGACTGGCACTGCAGGACTCAGTCCAAGGGCTGGGGCTCCTTTTTTTTTTTTTGAGACAGGGCCTTGATTTGCACCTCAAGTTGGCATTCAACTCATAGTGATGCTCTTGCCTCAGCCTCCTGAGTGCTGGGATTACAGGTGTGTGCCACCATGCCCAGCCCCCAACTCCTAATGCTCTCCTTTACATGTTTCACGTTTCATGAAACTTCACAAAGAATCTCCTAGTTGGGCGTGGTGGCACATGCCTGTAATCTCAGCACTCAGGAAGCTGAGGCAGGAAGATTGCTGCAAGTCTGAGGCCAGCCTGGGCTACATAGTGAATTCAAGGCCAACCTGAAGTACATAGTGAGACCTTGTTTCAAATAAATAAAAATTTTAGAAGGCTGAGAATGTAGCTCAGTGAGAAAGCCCTGAGTTCAACCCCAGTATGACCAAAAAATCCTTTAAATAAAGGAATCCTCCTCAAAGCACAAAGCTGTCTCAGCCCTCCAAGAGGGTAACATGGAAGAGGTTTAGTCTTTCCTCTTGCTATCTCCAGGACTCTGGGGCATGTGCTGGAAGCCTATGATGCCCTTTCCCTGCCCCTCCAGTTCCACGTTCCTGGCCCCCAAGCACTGACACCCCACTCCAAGGGTTCCCTCTCTCAGCTTGCCCCTCTTCTCACCTCCTGAAGAGTGGCAGCCTCCCCGCCCCCCGGGGGCCCCTTTCCTGGGCAGTGGCCCAGAGGCTGGGGTGGGGTCCCCGGGGGAGGTAGGTGACAGTGAGCGCAGGGGCACGGCGGTGGGCGCGGGGCTGGCGTGGGCACCCCCTCGGGCCCCACGGGTCTCTGCAGCCAGACAGCGTCAGACATGTACCTGGGGGGAAAGGCCAGTGCAAGGGTCCCTGCCCTCTGTGCTTCGGGGGCACAGAGCTCCCCAGGCAAGAGGGTGGGGGCTCCCCCAGTGCCCTGGAGAAACCCAAGAGGAAGAGAAGAGTGAGGGGCAGGGCCTGGGAGCCGAGGTGAGAGGGGGCTCATCTTCCCTGACCCCGCCGCCCCAGCCCCAGGCTCTTGGGCCTCAGGTTTGCAGACTCACCGGGGTCCCAGCGGTGCACAGAGTGTCAGGTACCAGTTCCTGGCACAGCCCTGGTTGAAGGGGTTGTATCCTTGAAGGTCTCTGCACTGGAGGGGAGTCCGAGGGGATGCGAAGCTGGAACCAGCAGGACTGGGTGGGCTACCCAGGGACCCTCAGCCAGGGCTGCAGCCAGAGTCCAGGGCAGGGAAGCCGCACTCGAACTGCAGCCTCTGCCTCCTGAATGACTCACCCAGTAGCACCATAGCCACCTCCCCAGCCCTCTGAGGGCCCTATCATCCCGTCACTCCCTCAGGGGCTTCCTCGCCCTCTCTGTCCTTCCTGGCCACGCGCATCCGCACCTCCTTCTGCCACCTCCTCCTCGATCTTCCTTCTGCTACTCAACTGCCCCAACGACAGTCCCACCCCATCCCACCTGTTTTCTCATCTCTCATCTCTTGTTTTGTTTTGTTTGAGACAAGGTCTCACTGTGTACTTCAGGTTGGACTTGAACTCGCTATGGCCTCAAACTTGCAGTGATCCTCTTGCCTCAGCCTCCTGCATCCTGGAATTCCAGTCAAATCTCTGATTTATTTTCCCTATGAATCACCTCCACTGAATTTCACTATCTGGAGGGGCGTGTGGGGCCAATCACACTTTCCTACCCAAAGAGCTCATGGCCCGGGAAAACCTGGGCTGAAGGCAGTAAAGATGAAGTCTTCCCCAGGATTCTGAGGCTCAGCGTCCCCTTCTTCAGCCTATCCCCTCCCAAGCCCCCATGCTCCCCAGCCTCAGCCTGACCTGGATTCAAGAGCCCTTGCTGACAAATATCTAGTCACACGGAGAAGCCCCTCTGCCCTCCCGAACAGCCCACGCCCACGCCCAGCGGGAAGACAGACCTCCAACACCGCCCTCGCCCAAGGGACCAGCCCGGCCAGGTGGCTCCGGATGTCCTCCGTGGCTGGCAAAGGACCCAAGCCACTGTGCTGGAGGACAGTCAACCTCATCTTGGGTGTCAGAGCACTGAAGAGAAAGCGGGTCCTGTTCGAGGCTCCAAGTACTTAAAACAGCTTGATGAAAGTCACAGAAGTTTTAGATTTAGGAGACTAAATGTGTATTTGTTAGATGCATAGGAAGTATAGAAAAGTGTGGCCTGTATAGGAAATATAGAAAAATGCTTAGATGAAAGCCGAGCATGGTGGCGCACGCCTACAATCTCAGCACACAAGAGGCTAAGGCAAGAGGATCACTGCGAGCTCAAGGCCAGCCTGGGCTACACATCAAAAGAAACGGAAGGGAAGAAAGAAAAAAAAAGAAAGTCATGCAGATAGAAAGGAAGAAATGAGATCTTATCTACGGACGCCATGATTTTTCATGTCGAATCAACAAAAATATTTTAGAACTAATAAGCAAGTCTAGCAAAACAGTAGATTCAAGACCAATGTACAGGGGCCGGGGATATAGCTCAGTGGCATAAGAGCCTGCCTGGAAGCGCAAGGTCCTGAGTTCGATTTCCGGTACAAAAAAAGAAAAATAGACCAATGTACAAAAATCCATTGTATTTTCTGCCAGATGTGGTGGTGCCCACCTGGCATCCCAGCATTCTGAAGGCTGAGGCAGGAAAATCACAGGAAATTCCAAGGCTATTTTGGGCTACATAGTGAGTTCAAGGCCAGCCTGAACTGCATAGTAAGACCCTGGTTCAAAAACAGAACAAAAGCATTGTATTTTTTTAATAATAATGAGCAAATGGATCCCAAGAGTGGTGGTATAGGCCAGGTGTATTGGCACACAACTGTAACCCCAGGACTAGGGAGGCTGAGGCAGAAGATCAGCTTTGGCTACACACCGAGCTCAAGGCTGAACTACGCAACAAGAGCCTATTCTAAAAACAAAATAAGGTAAACTGTGCTTCATCCAAAACATCTGCTCCTTGGAATGCACTGTGAAGACAATAAAATGACAAGTCACATATTTTGAGAAAATTCTTGCAAAATATGTCTGAATTCAGAATATAGGGCCAGGGATATAGCTCAGTGGCATAAGCACCTGCTTGGCAAGCACAAGGTTCAGAATTCAATGCCCCATACCAAAACAAAACAAAACAAAACAAAAAACTCCAACAAAACAGAATATATAAAGAACTCCTAAAATTCTATATGAAAACAAACCAGATTTTTAATAACTGGGCAAAGATATACAGGTGGCAAATAAGAAGATGAAAAGACGCTCAACAATGGAGTTAAAAGTGAAACCAAACCACTCGCTGCACAATCCTGGCCTTCCTTCCAGCCATCATACCTCAGTGAAAGGAGTCACTGGTGAGGAGGTAATATGCTATTTTTGACAACCCTTAGGCTGTAACTCCTTAATAGGTCCCTCTTGCATATCTCTGTCTTCCTGAGAAACCACTCTGAAGATACCACCACGTATTACAGCAGCCATTGATATTTTCCTACTAATCTATCCATAACTGTGTAAAGTTTGTAATGTTCCTATCCTATTTCATAAATGGATGTATGTTTATTATTATGTGTTTCCTACAACAACCATTGAGAAGAGTTAATGATTTTTCAATAGGTCACTCATGTATAGCTCTATTTATTTTCTTTAGAAGCCACTTTGAAGATACCAAAGTATAGTACAACAACTCTTGATAATCTCCTACCTCTTTTGTCTGTAACTCACTATTGTCTATTTGTTTTCCTGAGAAACTATTTTGTAGACAATAATATGTAAAATGATAACCATTGATAATTTCCTACCATTTTGTCTGTAATTTGCTAAGTCCCCCCTATTATTATGTTATCCTTCTTTTATTCTTTAAAATAAAAAAAAATAATTAAAAAAAAAAAAACCACTCGCTGCATCTCAAAGAAAGAAAAGGACCAAGAGGCCCATTATTCCCGAGAGTCCCTCCTTAGCACCCTCGTCGGGTGGTCCTATGCTGGTCAGACGGTGTCATCCAGTGCCCACCTGAGATGACTGTCACTGGTTCTTTCTGAGTTCCACATTTTGACTGGGGAAAATAGGACCATCTACCCTGACGGATGAGTTGCCGCGGCCTTTCCAAAGGTCGCCTCCCCTAGAAACAACCCAATCAGGCGCTTCTCGAAAACATCAAAAAGGGAGGCAAAAAGCCCGTCAACGGCTGTTACCCAGAAACCTGATTTTTAAAAAAAGCACCTGATGTCTATAAGAAAATTCAGTCTGATAGACGACCATACCCTCTGGTTATGAATTATAAGGACTATGGACACTAGAAAAATAAATAAAAAGAAAAGAACTCTCAAAAGCTTCATTCTGGATCAGACAACAAACCTTTCATCTGTCTGACAGGCTCAGACGAGGCCAGACCGGACTCCCTTCTTCAGCTGGGCCACCGGGAGCCCATGGTTCCATCATCGGGGCAACTGGGACTCTTGCCTCTCACTCCTTCTGCGAGGCACTAACTTGCCGCCTGGGAGGACATCTCACCAAACATGAATTCCTGTCTAAGCAGTCCCCACTACCGCTTCTGGGAAGAGACCTCCTCTTCAAGATAGAAGCGATAGCCTCCTTTGCACCAAGCTAATCAGCTCCCTCCCATTTAACCCTGCATTTTCAACTCTGACTGTTCCCTGAAAGGAAGGTGATGCCTGCCTCAGCCTGAGACAGGTGATTGCAATCCTGAAGTTCTGAAAACTCTCCTCCCAGAGGCATAAACTAAAGACTGGCCTCCAGGCCTGGCCATCAACCATGCTGCCTCACTGCAACCCCCACTGCTGTCAGATGTCACAAGAAGTACAAACAGGCATCCAGCCACACAGCCTGACAGACTGTTAATCATTTTGGGTGAGATCTCCGTGCTGTGAACAAGGAGCCATCATCACCTTGCCTTCTGCGGTTCCCAATCCACACATGCTTCTTAGACTGTTAATTGCCACGAGGGTTTAGGAACTCTCCCACGCTATTTTTGGGGAAGCCCTAACAACAGATTTGGCTCTCGGACAGCCAGTTCTCTGTCCCTTCTAGCTCCTTCATGGTCCTTGAGAAAGAAAAAAAACTGAGGCTTCAAAACTGCAAAATGTTTATAGACTGTCAAAACTGCTGAAATACAGCTCTTCTGCCTGTAAAGCGAGTTCGAGATCTCCAAGCTGCCAATGCTGCCACGATTGCCCTCTGTACGTGTTGCCTCAGTCTTCTCCCACCCACAGCCTGCTGGTACAGCTGCCTGGACCTAAAGAATGCCTTCTGCCTTTGGTTGGTTCCTGTCAGCCGGTCCCTCTTCACAAAGACCTCCAGTCTGGACTCAAAAGCCAACTGACCTGGACTCAATCTCCTAGAGTTTCAAAACCTTGTTTCTTATTTGAAAAGACACTTCTGATGAATGACCCTCAAGCAGCCTGCTGAAAAGACACAAAAGCTCTGCTATAATATCTGGCAGAAACTGGTTACAAAAAAAATTTTCACAAATTTCTTAGAGCTGTTGGCTACTATAGAGTCTGGGTCCTTGATTTCACAAAAACAATGATGCTTACTCAGATTGTCTCAGCCCCTGGGAGTGCTGAGTGGCCAACCTGTGCAAATACTTAGATCCTGTCACTAAGAGCTGCCTCCCCGCTTTTCCTCCACACTCTGACAGCCACTGTCCTTCTGATCAAGAAAGCTGAAAAGCTCACCTTTGACCAAGACTTTAATTGTCCAGGTGCAACATGCTACACTGGGACGAACTCTTCCAAACAATGGACTCCCTGACAGATGCTGAGTACACCCTACTTACAGATGGAAGTAGCTCTGTTAGGAATGAAGTCTGACAGGCTAGATATGCTGTGGTCACCTTGGACAAAACTATCTTGGCCAAAACTCTGCTACAGGGATAACTTGCACAGCAAATTGCTTCCTGCTGCTGTTTGGAAACCTGCCACCAACACAAAATAATCCAGTCCAGAGGCCTAAGCCCCCTCTGGAGATCTGACTGACTGAAACACCAACCCCTACCACCAGACCTGCCCCCACCATCTATTGTGCAAGCTCAAGCTGCTGCACTGGCACCCGTACCCCTGCAGCTCATGGTTCAGCATCTGTGTCACCGGCCCGACCTCCCCTTCCCTATCTGTACTGAGAAGACAATAAAAGTTTGTAGGGTCTTGCTGTAAAAAAATCATCTCTAGATATGACCTACCTTTGAACATCAGCAGTGACAACAATCCTGCATTTGTAGCAGAGGTGACTCAAAAACTAGATTAAATGAAAACTACAAACAGCTTGTAACCAGTTAAAAGACCAATTATATCTGTAGGTATTCCTGCACACATATATAACCCAGGTACATATTAACTACCTCTACAAGTTTCAGAAATCCAGCCTTAGAACTGCTGAAATTTTACCTGGACAGCTCCTCTGAGGCTCACTCAAAGCCCTGCCCTGCTTGCTCTGGATGCTGACAGTTCACACACAGCTGAAGCCTGAGGCCATTGTTCACAGGATTGCCCCACACCTATTCCCCTGGATTTTTGTGTCTTTTCAGGCTGCTTACTCCATTCCTTGCTTCCTCTTCCCCTACTAGCTGTGCTTTTTGCCTTAAACTCTATGGATAATTGCCCCAAGAGAATAGAACACTTGACCAAGATTTGATGAGCATCCAAGGCACAATGGATACTCTCCTAGATCAGATATACTCCCTCACTCCCTTGCCAGAGTAATGTTACAGAACAGACAGGCCTAAATTGTGTTTCTTCCTAAAAACAACTTGGGGGAAAGGCTGTAATAAGAAAATCTTGGGAAGCTTTGCTAGGGCCCTTTCTAGGATCATCGATTGCTTCTAGTTGGGCCTTGTATCAGAAGATCACATGCATATGCCCAGCCAAGATTTGCCAGGGAAACTAAAAGAGGGGAAATATAATAGAAAATGCCCCCCCAGCCAGTATACTTCAATTTCTTAGTTGTCCAGGTAATAGTCCTTTTTCCAGATCCAGCTGCTTCTGTCTCTTAGAAGCAGCTGGTCACTGTGATGCACACTGTATAAACTAATCCCCACTGACAAGCCATTCTGCCTCTGTACTTCCTGCTTGCTTATCCCATACAAGCCTCAGACCACCAGAGTGATCCCAGTCAGTTCCTGTGCATGTAAATAAATCGGCCTCCAAATCCTGGGTGTCATTTTGGTGTTTCCACCTTTTAGGAAATTCTACCCTGGCCCCCAGGTTCCCCCAAATCAAGGCTAAAGCCCACTCCTGACCTCTGGGCTTTTCTAACCTGGCCCACTCAAGGGTGACTCCATTCCTGCCCCCCTTCCTGCCACCCCTCACCTGGCTTTCACATCACGCCCCGATGGGACAGCAACCTGGGAGGGGAGGTGCCACGCCATCTGCTCCACGTACCTGGCCTTCGTAGGAGTGCTCAGCTGTGCTCACCGAGAGGACCTGGCTCACCAGCAGCACCAAGAGCGGCACTAGAAAGCCAGCGGAGGGGATCACCACCACCAGGCTTTGAGGGAGCTGCTAAGGAGCCCAAGAACACGGTCACCCTCCACGGCCCCGCCCACCCAACCATAGTCCTGCCCTGTCCAGTTGAATCCCAGCCCACTCAATCCTAGCCCCTCCCCAGCTCTACCAGAGCCCCATCCACTAACCGTAACTCCTCCACCTTCCTGCCCCAGACCACCATCCCAGCTATGCCCGCCAAGCCAAGTCTCACCCCAGCCCCAAACTAATTCCACCTCTAGCCATACCCATTGACCAAGACTTGCCGCTGTTCTACTGCAGCCATGCCCACCCAATTGTAGCCCTGTCCAGTGCCACCCAGGCTCACCCCTTCCCTCCACAACTCCACCCTAGCCCTGCCCCATCCAACCCCACCACACCACTCCCCACGCTCCATTATTAGTTCTAATCACCTATGCTGAACCTCCCACCATGCTGTCACCTCATCTGTCCATTTCCTGGCCTCCTTACCCCGCCTGTGACCTACTCCCTCCTGTCCCGTCTGTCTCCCTGACCTCCCCCATCTTCACCAGCTTACACTGGGCCCGAGCAGCTTCTCCCTTCGCCCTGCCCCTGACACCCGCCCCTCACAGGCCCTCCCACCATGCACCAGGTGGGCCCTGGGCCAGTGAGGATACGCCATGGCCTTGTCCAGGTTGAAGGGCAGGTGGCTGTTGCGCACCAGGAACACCAGGGAGGCGGCCAGCACGGTGCTGGAGTAGAGGCACAGGGACACGACGAGCAGCAGGAAGGCGCGGAAGTTGCGGTGACCGACACAGTTATTGACCCACTTGCAGTGGTGGTCAAAGTCCTGGGCAGCAGGCCGTGGGGCAGGCTGTGAGGACCTGGCCCTAAGCCCTAAGCTCCCCCAGCCTCCTGCTAGGCCACCTGCTGTGCACCCCAGGCACTGGCTCCCACCCGGGGAGAAACTGAGTCACAAAAGCCCTGGTGCAGGCATTGCTGTTGTTGGAGCATCGTTAGGACATGGGGTGCAGATGTGGACGCCTCGTGCTTGTGGACACCTGTGCAGGCCTCCTGGGCAGGTGCAGGCCTCCTGGGCAGGTGCAGGCCTCCTGGGCAGGTGCAGGCCTCCTAGGCAGGCGCAGGCCAGAGGCCAAGGGCTGAGAGTCCCTGCCACCCTTGGCCTTTGGCAGTCCCAGAAGACGCCACGCCTGATGTGGAGCTCCTGGCCAGATGTGGGTGAGGGGCCAGCAGGTGGGCAGGCAAGGGGTGCTCACCTCCACACAGATGTTGCACCAGGGGCAGTGGTGGGTCCGAGGGGGGCGGTGAAAGCAGCACCTTGGGCACCACCGCAGGCGGAAGGCCCTGCGGTTCACCCACACCACATGGACCATCATGGGGTCCTCTAGGGAGCCTGGCTTGGAGAGAGACCCCTTCGTCAGTCTGCTGCCTGGGGACCGCCCCACAGCATGGGAGGAGGGGTCCTGGGGCTGGAGGTGGGGGGACCACTTTAGACGTTACCCCTGCGGCCCGCAGCCCTTGGGGTGCCACCTCCGCCCTCTTAGGGGCCTGAGGCCTCACCTTGATGTAAGGTGCCAGGGTCTGAGAAGTTGAGGGAGATGAGACTGAAGAAGGTGAGGACGAAGAGGGGGCCTGTGACTGCCGGAACGACCCATCCCCCGCTCTGAGCCAGCCACCTGCAACTGAGACCAGACCAGCCTCAGTGTGGAGCCGGGCTGACCCAGAGCTCTGCCTCCTGCCCCAGGCCTGTCTTGCCTGGGTCTGGTTGCAGACCCTCAAGCCAGCTCTAAATCTCCACACACACTGGGGACAGACCCCAGGGTGCCACCAGATGTCACCAGCGTTAGCAACCACCTGCAGCTGCCAGACGCCCCAGCCCTCTAGACTTCCGCCAGCATATCCTCTTTCCCTGACCTTTGCCCCTCTCCACTCTGCCTCTTCCCTCTGGCTATCTACGTTCCTTGTTGTCTCTTTGAGGGAAATCGGACAGCTTGCTCAGGAGACTCACGGGAATGCGAAGAAGAGACCACTGAAAGTGACCAGCAGGACTACGTTGAAGGCAGGGAACAGGCTTGGGAGGAACCAGGAAACTGGGGTGAGAGGTGGGGACTGGAGGCCTTTCGTATGGGACATGGCATCCTTTGAGATCTGCCCAGCTAGGCACAGCTAGTCCTCCTGTGCCACCCAGGAAAATCAAAGGCACCAGGCTCCTCCTCCTCCTCTCATGGCTTTCAGAGTTCCACAGTGACAGCAGCCTCAGAAGCCATAGCCTAGAACAGAAGGGAAGAAGCCTCAGTGTGAGGTCACAGAGACTGAGGAGTGGGTGACTTCCGGTATCAATACCTTCCCCACCCCCAGGGAGTGCTGGAGACCACCGCTACACTGGAGACTGACATGGCTCAGCTGTGTTTGTCCCCCAGGGGTCCATGTGCTGGAGCTGAGTTGAAGCCAGCAGGAGGCACATGGAGTGTTGCAGGCTGGACAAACTGAGTTCCAGCCTCACAGCCAGAAACCAGCCTGAACTTCAGTGGAACTAAAGGTGCAGGCTTGCTGGGATTATCCACTAACCTGCCATAAAGCTACAGCTGGCTTTCTGGGATTAATCAACATGGATCTGGGTTCTGTCTGCCCACGCTGCCTACCAGTAATAGCCAAGACACTCCCTGAAGTGGACATTTTTCTCCTTTTTTCTTCTTTTCTTCTTTTGTTTTTGAATTTGTTTTTTTTATATTGATTGTTTATTGTTTTTATATGAGTGAACACTCTTTCTAGTTTTTTGTTATTGCTGTTGTTCTGGTTTTTATTTCTTCCTTCTGTCTTTCTCGTCCTCTTCACCAGTATCCCAAAGTTCATGTAATCTTTCTTTGAGCTTTAGTCTTGCTTTTAATCTCATCTTCTATTTCTCTATTTTCCCCCACAACCTCTTTTTTTTGTTTGTTTGTTTTTTTCCAGTAGTGAGAACCAAACTAATGACCTCACACTTGCTAGGCAAGCGCTGTGCCACTGAACTAAATCCCCAGCCCCTTTCCCCCAACCTCTTTTAAATTTTCTCTCCTGAGGGTAAAATTGTCATATTGAGAGCATATTTACTATATAAAATTTTCTGGTTTGTTTTAGATTTTGTTATATAACCACAAATATACTTTATATGGTTAAAGGTGGCAAATTAATAATTACCACAGTTTGTCATCTTCTAGGCTATTTGATGCTATTGTCATTGCTGATTATATATACTACATTAGCCAAGGTGACATAACTGTTCTAACCAGTTGTTTTTCCTGGTATACCAAGACTGAGATTGCCTAAGGGTCAACTAACAATACTATAGGCCAGTGCCAAAGTACCAAGGGGTAGGCCAAATAAGCAGCAACTTCTCATCCCCAATAAACTGAAGAGGTAGAACCTTGCAACAGACTCAAAAATCAAAAGCCAGCTATACCTGGAAGACATCTCTGAGAAGTAGTGATTTCCTAAGAGTTCTAAGTACTAGCAATAAAGCTATATGCCATAAGCAATTTACAGGCACCAACCTGGGAATTAAACTAAAGTGAAGAAAGAAAGAGAGAGAGAGAGAGAGAGAGATGGAAAGAAAGGAAAAGGAAATGAGAAGACACATAAGCAAGATGCAACTCCAGACTCACCAAAAGCAAACCCAAGGGGCAGTGAGATGGAATAGTTTGAAAGCCACCCACCTGCACTTTCCAAAGTGGCAACAGCAAAACTAACAAAGCACATGAATGAGACTCTAGAAAACATTCAAATCAGAAACTATTTCTCAGATAACTACCGAGATGGTGACAATAATGAAAGACATGGTTAGTGACTCTGGAGTAGACACAGATAAAATGAGGAACTTAGGAAAACGATGTAAACCATGAACTCCCAACATAGGAAAGAAATGCAATCCATGAAACAGATTCAAACGGATATCCAGGAGATTAAAAGTTCCATTGAAAGTATACACAGCAGAATGAGCCAATGTGAGGACAGAATATAATACAGAAGACAGGATTGTGGTTAGCGATCATGAAAAGAAAGACTGCTTAAAAATAGCAAGGGAGGGCCAGGGAGATAGCTCAGCGGCACCGCGCCTGCCTGGCAAGCGCAAGGTCCTGAGTTTGATTCCCGGTACCAAAAAAATAGCAAGGGAGTGCAAGAAATCAATTCAACAGTTGCCAGATGATGCAAAGAAGAATAACACAAGATTGATTGGCATCAATAAAAAAGCAGATAGAACAAATGACATAAAAAACCTATTCACAGAAGTAATGGCAAGAAACTTCCCAAGCAGGGAAAAAATTGACATACAGGCTGGGCATGGTGGCACACACCTATAATCCAAGCACTCAGGAGGCTGAAGCAAAAGGATCACCACTAGTTTGAGATCAGCCTGGGCTACATAGGGAGTTCAAGGCTAGCCTGAACTATGTAGTGAGACCATCTCAAACAAAAATTGACATATACATAAGTGAGGCATATACAACTCCAGTTAGCCATGATGCAAAAAAAAAAAAATCTACTTCAAGGCATATACTAGTCAAGATTGCAGAAATTCAACAGAAGAACAGAATATTAAAAGTTGTGAGAGAAAAGAAACAAATCACCTATAAAGAATAGTCTATCAGAATCACAACAGACTTCTCAATACAAGCCCTCAAGTCAAGGAGAGTTTGGAGTGAAGTATTTCAAACCCCTCCACAAAAAAAACACCCCCAGCCCAGATTGATATACCATGCAAAACTATCTTTTAAAATTGATGTAGAAGGACCAGGCATGGTGGCATATGCCTATAACCCCAGCACTCAGGAGGCTGAATTGGGAGGATCACTGAGAGACTGAGGTCAGCCTGAACTGCATAGTGAAACCCCAACTCAAAAAGACAAAAAAAAAATTGATGAGAAATAAGATACTTCCATGACAACAACATCTGAGGAAATTCATGACCATCAAACTAGCACTCCAAAATGTTCTAAAGGACATTCTAGAAAGAGATAACAAAGTCTACAATGCCACGAGCCCCAATAGAATGAATCCACCAGGCAAGGCAAGTATTTAAATGGGGGGACCAACAATAGGAAAATAACATGACAAAAATAAATCAATACATATCAGTTATAGTGATCAATGTAAATGGTCTCAATTTACCACTCAAAAGAAATAGACTGGCAGAATAGATCAAGAAGCAAGATTCACAATATGCTGCATATAAGAAACACATTTAATTCAAAAAAAAATTCATAGACTTAAATAAAAAGATGGAAAACAGCACTCCATGTGACAGGAACCCAGAAAGTTCACAAAGTGAACTTCAAACCAAGACTGATTAAGAGAGACAAAGAAGGTCACTATATCTTTGTAAAGGGAATTATCCAGGAGGAAGAGATAACAGTGATAAATTATATGCACCAAATACTAGCACACCTATCTATATAAAACAAAACAAAAATTTTTTTGAGACAGGGTTTCACTATGCAGTTCAGGAAGGCTTTGAACTCACTTGTAGCCCAGTCTGGCCTGCCTACAGCAATCCTCCTGCCTCAGCCTCTCAAGTGCTGGGATTATAGGTGTGTGCCACGACACCCAGCTAAAACAAATATTAATGGATATGAAAAATCAAATAAACACTACACAATTATAATCAGGGAGCTCAATATCCCACTGTCACAAATAGACAGATCAACTTGAAAAAAAATCTACAATGAAATATCAGAATTGAACCAAACTTTTGAACAAATGGATTGGATTGAGTAGTTGTTTACAGAATGTTCTACCCCAGAACATCAGAATACACATTCTTTTCAGTTACCCATAGACGTTCTCCAAAATGGGCCACACTGCTAGGGATGGTGGCACATGCTAATAATCCTAGCACTCAGAAGGCTGAGGCAGGAGAATTGCTGTGAGCTAGAGGCCAACCTGAACCTCATAGCGAAATCCTGTCTCAAAAGGACAAAACAGACCACATGCTAGCTCATAAAACATGCTTAAGTAAATGCAAATGAATCATGCATATAATTAGATCATAGTGCAATAAAATTGGAAATCAATGGCAAAAGAAATCACAAAAACTTTATAAATGCATGGAAATTAAAAAACACCCTCCTGAAAAACCAGTAGGTCACAGATGAAATTAAAGAAGAAATTAGTTTCTACAATTAAACAGTAATGCTAATTCAACATCCCAGAACCTATGGGACACAATGAAAGCAGTCCTATGAGGGAAATTTATAGTGGTAAATTCCCATATCAGAAAAACAGAGTGAGGGGCCGGGGATACAGCTCAGCAGCATAAGTGCCTCCCTGGCAAGCGCAAGTCGTGAGTTTGATTCCCAGTACCAAAAACAAACAAAGAAAGAAAGAAAGAAAGAAAGAAAGAAAGAAAGAAAGAAAAATAGAGTGAGCTGTGCATGGTGGCACATGCCTATAATTTTAGCACTTGGGAGTCTGAGGTAGGAGGATTGCTGCAAGTTTGAGGCCAGTCTGGACTCCATAGCGAATTCAAGACCAGCCTAAATGATGCAGTAAGACACGGTTTCAAAAAAAAAAAAAAGGCAGAGCAAGCTCAAATAAACTAATAGTGAACCTCAGCCCTTCAGAAAAAGAAGAGCAAGTCAAACCAAAATCTCATGTGAGGGAAGAAATTATAAAGATCATAGCAGAAACTAATGTAATGGAGACTAAGGAAACAAAGAGTTGGTTCTTTGTAAGATTAAATAAAATTGACAAACTCTTTGCCAACCTTATCAACAAAAGACTCAAATCTATGCAATTAGGAATGAAGAGGGTGAAATCACAACAGATTCTGCAGAAATCCACAAGATCATCTACTCCTACCTCAAGAACTTATATTCTAATAAGATGGAAAACACAGGAGAAACAGATTCTTAGACACACATGAATTATGAAAGCTGAATCAAGAAGATATAAAAATTCTAAATAAACCAGTGAAAGCTAATGAACTGGAGATGTAATTAAAAAGCCCAGACCCTGACTGACTCACTGCTGAATTCTACAAGAAATTTAGAGAAGACCTAATATTGCTACTTCTCGAATACTTCGTGAAATTGAAAAGGAATCAACACTCCCAAATTCATTCCTGGAAGCAAGCATAACCCTGATACCAAAACAAGAGAAGGATCCAACCAAAAAAGAGAATTATAGGCCAGTCTCCCTAATGAACATAAACACAAAGTCCTCAGTAAGATACTGGCAAATAGAATGCAGCAAATCATCAAGACAATTATACACCATGACCAAGTAGAATTCATCCCAGGGATGCAGGGATGGGTCAACAT